TGCATATTTGCTGATTTTTATGACAGTTTGTTAGCAGCCTCTCGTTTCGCATTGCGGATGGCCAGGATGGGTAGGGGAAATGGAAATGGAGCGGATCGGATCGGATAGGATTGGATTGGATCGGAACGGAACGGAACAGAGCGGAGCGGAAAGGCAAGGATTTCCGCTGTCAACGGGACTGCCATCGATGCATCCGTTGTGTAGTCAGGGTGTAGTCAGAGAAGGGGTCAGATAGGTTATAAATCTACGAATTTTTATATAACTCTTTAACCCTTTTGATTTAGTTTTTGCTTACGCCCTTGTTTCTCAGTCTCTTGCAGTTTTCCTATTGACATTTTCACAGACGCCATCATCCGTTTTGGCCTGTTGTTTTGTCATAAGTGCATTGTCGAATTCGATTATTCTGCGAAAACTATCCGTTCTAATGTCAGTTTTTGATTTTCTTAGTGAGGTTAAGATGTCTAATTTGCTGGCATTTGTGGAAATGTTAAGGTTTTTCCTTATGTTTATTGGGATTTTACTGATTATTTTACACAGTTTCCATTATCTGCCTTACTTTTTATAGAAATTGTCTAAGTTTTCTCTTAATAAGTTCCCTATCTTCGAAAGCCTTGACAAAATGAATAATTTTAGGGATAAAAAAATCATCATCTACGAACATTACCTTATAAAAAAGTTTCCTTGTACTTAACTACTATAAAATTAAATTTCAAAAAACCTAAAAAAGTTTCCCCCAACTCTTAACCCATTGGCATTTCTTCTAAATCTCTAAATTCAAACTCAATTCAAAAAATCAACCAACTTTCGGGGACCATGAAAACGAGCCAATCAAAATTCGTAGCAGAATTTTTGTTTTTGGCTGCAGTTTTTGGACTCGACTGCAATCTGTTTTGACGGATTTTGACGAATGCCATCATCGAATGATGATGATGATGACGATGATGGCGTGCCGTTGATTTAATTTTCTCTTTCTATCCAATTGACGCTGTTCTGTTGTTTTTGTTTTTCAATACCGGACATGGACACGGACATGATGTGTTTGCCTTCTAATTTACAATCGGATTGAGTATCCGTTCGCTTCTCCACTGTCACTCGAAAAACACTCATAAATATGTTGATTCTTTCTCTCGGAAAACTGAAATTTAATTTCGACTGCGTGTGTGCAGGTCCCCTCGGCCTGTGCTGGTGCTTTGCCTTTCGTCTCTTCGCTGTTTGTTGTTAATAATGTAAACATTTTAATATTTAATAATGCGCATACGACATGTTGCGCCATTTTTGTGAGGCTCCTTCAACATTGCTGACATTTAAATGAATTTTCAATAATTTCGCTGTCGGTTTTTTGGCAGCCGATAGAGTTGTTGCCTTTTTGTTGTTATTGCAAAAGCACCACCAACAAGCACTTAACGCCTAGAAAGGACCTTCACACCCACATTAAGATCTACATCCATCCATCGCCATACCCATTCCCATACCCATACCCATTCCCATTCCCATAGCCATTTTCAGTGGCGCAACCTACTGCCGAAAATGCCATTTGTGCAAATCTAATAAACAGCGAACCGCATTAAATTTGACAGTAAGGTGTGGGATTTTCAGGGTACGATGGTTATATAGTACTCTGGGCGAACGTGTCAATCGAGGGGCGTTTTTTTTTTGGGGAAAAGTGGGCGGAAATGCGCCCCAGTGGGCGCCACAATGGCTCAACTTTCATTATAGCATCCGCAAAGAATCTTTTAAAGAAATCTTTATTGAATAGCGAAGTTGATACCGTGTTTTCTGGGATATATATACTATATAATTTAGCCTTCTTTCTGCTGTTTAACCAAAGCTGTGAAGTTATTAGAAATCAGTTTGAGAGGAAGAAGTATGGAAACTATTTTAGTTTCTTTCTGACACAGTCACCAGTTTCCTTAACGGAGAAATAGCACCAACTAAGAACTATAAATCAATTAAATCCTGAAAATCATAAACATTTTACAACCATTTGTCTTTCTTTATGATACATTTTCCTTGAGCATTATAAAAACAGCTCTACAAAAAATGTGCCAAACTGATTTATTTTCATATACTCCTCGAGACTGTCGCATCTTGTGGCATAAATCAAAACTGCCCCATGTCCGGGTGAGCTAAAAAGCTGCCAAAGACAGAGCTGAGAGGAGCAGAAGTGGAAAGAAAAAAGAAAACCCAAAGAAGAAAACACAGTGGTTTCTTTTTCTTCTGTAAAATCCTTCGCTAACTGGCGAATGTATGACACATTTTGCCTTTGGGATTTGCGGGCGAAGGACGCGTCGCGTTTCGCTTTCGTTTTTGCTTTTCGCATCCGCTATTTTGCCATTTGCCGTTGGTGTGTAGTTTAGGCCAAATTAACATATCACACAGGCCGCAGCGTCCTTGGGCCCTCCGCTGATGCTGCTGCTGCTGCTGATGCTCTGCACCTTCTTCTTGACGCTTGACTTGCCACTTTGAGATGCGGCCTCAGAGCTAGGCTGTTGCATAGTTGGGTTCAAGAGATTAGGTCTTATTATGAATGTTTGTGAAATTTCGAACTATTTAAGTAACATATTTTGGCCCTTCAAGGTTATTCCCTTTTCTTATATTTTAGATTTTTAATTTGATTTTTTATAGATTTTTCTTTTATTCATTTTCTTGGTACTTAGTATTAGTATCTCCATCACCTTCAGTACCTTCTTAATTTCTTAAAACTTTTTCAATTTTCCAACCAATTAAAGCTATTTTTGTGCCCTTAACTGTACAAGTCATATAGGCCTAGGCAATGGGCCATTGACTGCCAACCATTTGGATGGCGTTGCAGTCAAGTTTTGTGAGGCTTCGTTCTTGTCTCATTTTTTTCGATTTTTTTTTGGTGTCGTCATGGTTCATATCGCGTTTTTGACGCTGTCTCTGAAATATTCTGAATGTCATGCGGAGACCCACAAAAGGTGAACCAATTTTCGCGAAATTGTCTGCTAAAAAAAAAAAAGGGAAAAGAAAAGAAAAGCCAACGACGAATCTCGATTGGGCGAACACAGGACCATTAAAAGTTTAAAGATCTTTAAAAGATTGAGAGGTTTTGCATATCTAATATGGAAAATTATAGCAGTAATTCAAGGGGAAATTATTCAGTTTTACTAGGATATATATATAGGGATATAATAAGGAATGTAAATATAAAAAATATATGGCTTAAGATTATGTTAAACACAGATTTTTTGGTGAATTTTCTACCAAACATCTTTTTGGAAGTCATTTTTAAGCTGAAGTTGTGAAATTTTCTCTTAGCCAATTAAATATCTAAAAAATCGAAATATAAAACTAAATAAAATTCAAATTAATTCTGTAATTGAAATTTTTACTAAACAGTTGATGTCTAATCATAGTTACGCCTTCATTATTCCCAGAAATGTAATTTGAGAACCCACTGTAAATGGATTTTCATTGTAAATTTTGATTCTGGGAACTTATTATAGTATAGAAATGCATGCGTAGGTTTGCCATCAGGGCTGAAGCGATGTGGGTGTTTATGTACATTGCAGCTTATATACATATTAGTATATAGATCTCAGCTTAGGTTTATGTGTTGGCCATTACATTTCGAGATAAGCCAATAGGCGATGCGAAGTTTGTGGCTGGAAACTCCTTGCCAGCTCCTTTGTGCTAATCAATGTCCGAGTATGTGGAGATTTCTGCACTTGCAGAATATTATTTATATAAAAAAATGAAGGATTTAATGATATTATAGTATTAGAAGTTAGTAATCAATAAGGGTTAGATCATAGTTTTAGGCAGACCATCAAGTATGGTTGGATTCTAAGAAAAGTTTAAGAGTTTCCTTGACACCACCATTTCCTTATTTATTTTTCACATTTTGAAAACTATTTTCAAAGTGTAGACTTATGTACACATCTGGTGCATCTGTGCAATGCATGACTTTGAACCAATCAGATTAATGCAAATTGGGATTAACTCTATAGTTATTCGAAGAGCCAATCCGCTTTGAATGTTCACTCCTCCAATGGTTGCTCATTCTAATGGCAACGTCCTCGATTGTTATTTTTGTTGTTTTCTATTTGAGAGAGAGAAAAATGATTCATTGTTCCTCTTGCTGAATGCAGGTAATAATTTTTGTGTGTTTTTCTTTTTTCTATTTTCCTCAACGGACTTTTTTTTTTTTATTTGTTTTCATTCCCAGTCAGGGAGCGGGGGGGGATTTCTTTTTCGATTTGTTTTTGTTACTGCAATTGCTGGATGGTATACGTACGATATGGCAGACAATGAAGAGCATTTCATTTGAATAATGCGAAAACATTTTGCTAGACGCCCGCTGCCATTGTCTAGCAGGACATAATTTTCCCCTCCGATTCGTCGTGTGCTTTTTAAACTGCTCAACTGACATGCCGATTGCTTTTGTCTGCACACCTATATCTGTCAAACACACCTCCATACACTCCACATTTTGATTGCCCCTTGATGGACAGCACAGAACGGAACAGGCACAGATAGAGAGATAGAGAGAGAGGGGTGTAGGGCAAGGCTGACGGGTGGAAAGTAAATTTGGTCATCGGTAATCGTCGATGGGTCGATACGATGTCCTGGCGATATGTTCTCATTTTGCTTGATGAACATGCAGGGAATTTATAGTTCCCATGGGGGAAGGCAAGAGTTGAGTTCAGGTAGAGCTGGCACTAACGAATGTCAAAGCTAGCAATAAATATGGGTATATATTAGAAAAAATATCGAAATTATCGATTTTGTTATCGTTAATATTGATAAATCAGAAATACTTTCAATTTTATTCATAAATAACATATTTCACGCTATCAAAATATAGGATAAAATATCGATATTATCGATAATTATCAAAATATCATAATTAACCTATCGATTGTCAAACTTTTCGGCCCATGCCATGCCCTAGCATATAGTCAGCAATGCATTTAGCGCTAAGTATATCTATATATTAGAAAAACTATCGAACAATCGATAGATTGTATTGAAAAATCAGCATTTGTTTAAATTTCATTTATAAATCACATACTTTACCTCATCAAAATATATGATAACATATTCATATTATCGATAATTATCCAAATAGCATTATTAACCTATCGATTGGCAAACTTTTCGGCCTATGCCATGCCCTAGCAGATGGTCAGCAATGCAGGTCAATTTCCCTTCGAAACTATTTCAATTGGCTGTGATTACAGAGTTCCATTTGATGGACAGCTCGTAGATGGTTTTTTCCTACTAATATTGTGAACTTTCTTCTTTCTTTCTCTTGTTTTGATCCAATTTGAAACAGACAGACCTCCTTGGTTCCTTGTGTAGCGTTTTCTGGGTTCTTCGACGGCAATTGTGGGGGCCTCATTTGAGGCCCAAACTTTGTTGCTGCTCCTTAGCCTGAAAGTGTGCCACATTGTCCGTGTCGAAGAGATTATTGCTATTGTCGTATCAATTGGGAGCATTTACATGCGGCACGTTTGGCCGTATGTTTCTGAATAAATCACACAGCCTAGCCTGTACGGACATGTTTGCTATGAATAATTTGTATTGCCTTCTATCAGTATGGCTGATTCATTTTTTTCGGAGCTGATGGGGCTGGTAATTGCTTTATAAAAAGCATGTTTTTGGGTCACCAAAAATTGCAGCATAATCGATTAGATTAGTAAACAAATCAATAAGCATTTCCCAGACCGTTTAGCGACCGGTGTTAGGCGGCCCTAATTGCCGTTTGTCATTAATAGATAAGCTGTTTAGGAATTAATTGGCATTTAATTGGGTTTTAGGACTTCGGATTAGGTTGCTAATATGGGAAATTGATTTTAAAGATGGCAAATCTTCAATCAGTTTACATTTTGTGTTGAAATTTTATTAAATTTTAACCACAAAAATTCATAAAAGCTTAGGAAAGACTTCTCTGTTTTACTAGGCACCCCATAGTAGCCCCTCCTAAACTCCCTTTTCTAGGGTATCACGCATAGCTCTAAGCATTTCTGGCAGCAATCCCACATGACTGTCCACACAGTTGTTGGTACAGCGCTCCAAATGATAATCAGATCCATGGACTCGACACTGTTGAATGCACTTCTCCAGCTTGTTCTCAAAGTCGGACATGCCCTGCTGGACGAAGCAGCGGGCACGAGTCAAGCGGATCTGGCAGCGGTCCACACAGCGCTCTACCGCCTCTGCATTAGCATCCACATCCGCACAACAAGCAGAGGCACAGGCATGCATCTCGATCTGCAGCTTGCGTAGATAATCCCGATCCAGATCCTCCATGGCGGTCAAAATGGCATTATCCATACGCTCTCGTTGGTCCTCTAAGGTTGAGCTATCACAGTCCATTTCGGGGGCTTTGTAGGATGATATTATATAATATATATTGTTGAGTTGTGATTTTCGTTGGGAAGTTATGGAGAGTGATTGATTTTCTTGGGGTAAATCACAAAGCCAATGTGATTTTTTGTTTTTCATAATTTTAAATATTTTTGTATATTGGATAAAATCCAATCAAAAAAGCTGTTAAGTTTTCTGTTTTCTGTTCATTTATTTTTCAAAACATGTAACTTTAAATTATATTATTTAGTTTCTTTGCTTTCCCTAAAAGGTTTTTGCCATTAAAGAAGGAATTTTAATAGTCAAACTAAAGAATTTGCTAGTTAAGTCAGGTCGTGTTAAGGTTTTATTCTAGCAAATTTTGTAAAGGGAAGCCAAGGTTTACACATAAATCAACGTCAAGCTATCTCTAATTGGCTTTTACTTAATTAGTGTTCTTCGATAATGCAGTTTGGAAAAGGGTATATAAGAAAGAGTTTCAAAAGCATTCACTTAGCTTTCAAAATGCTTTACTTAAATATCTTGGGAATCCTTCTCCTTTTTGTGGCTGCTTCTGTGTCAGCTTTTGATCGAGAGTTGGCCAACAAGCGATTCTGTGAGTTTGATAAAGAGGAAAACCGGCTTATAAGGCTGCCAAATCCTAACCAACGTCTGCATCCTGAGCCATGCTGGCGATGTTCGTGGCTTATGAATTTGTTCAGACCCCCCCCACAGGGGAAAATTTTCGATTTGAAAGAATATTTCCGGGTCAATCGTCAAGCTTTCACGCCTTTTGAGCGGCGTGTGATACGTTTGTTACGTGAATTGGGATTAGTGAAAAGCGAAGCTGAAAAACTGATTGATACTTTGGAGAAGGACAAGGAATTAGCCAGAAGGTTGAAAAGGTTACTGGACAAGGTTGACGAACAGCATGAAACCGAGGACTTCCTTGAAGAATTTTTCAATCTATTTTCTTGGAGGAAATTGTAAGAGTTATTTACAGGCACCAAAATTATTTTAACAAATACAAAGCCAAATAAATAATGTTCATTAATCGTAGGCCCTGTTATGTTAATCGATAACAAGTGGAATATTTCCGATTATACCGATAACATGCTAATTGGCGGTTAAATGGTTTTCAGAATGTCCATAAAATGGTTTACTCAAATCGATAGATATGGCCAACAATCTGATTGATAATGCTTAACAATGTCATTAACATAATCGTTGGGATTATCCCAGGCAGTGCCAGCGATTACCTAAAGTACCCCCCACCACACCCCATCGATAATTATCGATAGTTTCGGGCACTTGAGTTGGGCCAAACTTAAAAGACCGCACACAAATGATTGCCATAAATTTTGATGGCAACAAACAACGACAACAATCAGTAGCGCTGCCGCCCGCATTTCTCTGCATTTCTCCGCTCAACTTTCTCCGCTCTCCGTTCTCCTCTCTCCACTGAATGATGTGCCAACTGTTGAGTTTCCTTCCGCTTCCGAATGTCAGAGTGGGAGGGAATGACTGCGAAAGATAGAGATAGAACAGGCACAGGGACGTGTGTGGGCGGGTAAGGGTGAGGGAGTGAGAGCGATACGGCCTTTTAGTCCCCCACCACACACACACACACACACACTCTCTTTCTCGCTCTCTCGCCGGCATCGAGGGCTGCTTACAGGTGTTTATAATACTTCGGGTCTTAGCCGAACTTAACCGAAATGCTTAGCCGAAAGCAGCCATCTCACTCAGACCATCATGGCCACTCGATAGCGGCCTCTCGCTCCCGGTCGCTTTATATTCCTGGCAAAGCGTCGCCTTAGCATCAGTTTCATTTGAACGGTCGACGAGGCGCGTTGTGCTAGAAGACGAACAAAAAACCTTTTTAAAAAATAGCAAAACAGGCCAAAAGACTTTTCAATACCCAAAAAAAAAAAAATACCGAAACTCTCTGGAACTGTCAAGTTCTCAAAGGAAAGAAAATCAAAACATCAACATCGCCTAAAAACTAAAACAAAAACAATCCAAAAAATCATCACAAAACAAACTCTTTTTTTTTTGATTGTGCTTCTAAGTGTTGTGCTAAAAACTTTATTAACTTGTACAAAAAAAAAAATATTCAAATCAAAAAATAAGATTCAAAGATATTTCCAAGTATTTAACTTATAATATATTTTTCAAATAACCTAACTTAAAGTTAAGACAACAAAAAACCAAACAAAACTCTCAAAACTAAAGGAAAATCAGTTCTAAGATCGTTTTTCGTGATTTTTGAATCCTAACTACTGTCAACGTGTAAAACGCACAAAAATGTGCACGAAATTTTCATTGGACTCGAACGACTGAAAAGTGCGTTCCCATTGAAAGCAAAAACTAAATACTGCGAGTTCGGTAAATATCAAAATTACTTAATTCAAATTCATTGAAAAACAAATTCTTGGGAAACATTTTTCGTTGATTAATTTCGTGATCAAATGTGTGTGAATGATTTAATTTCATTATGACGGAGTGTGTGTGTGAGTTTGTGTTTTGGTTTGTTGTGGTTTTTGGGGGGAAAACGTTTTGAAAAAGTCTGCCAAGGGGGATTCCCTTTAGGTGTTTTTTTTAACTTATTTCTGTGGTTGAGTAATAGTTTATAAAAAATTTCCTAGAATTTTATATTCAAAATAAATGGGAAGTACAAGGTTGTATTGTGGAACCTTTATTTGGTTTTTATAAGTTTTTTAGGGATTTATTTTAGATTGTAAAATGGGGTTTAGGAAATATTTTTTACATATTTTTTATGATTATCTTAATGTTCCTATTTAAAAAGTTCAAAATCTGAGAATTTACATTTTGGTTTTACAATTTTAAGAGGAATTTGTTAAAGTTTTAAATCAAATAAATAAAATTTCCTAAAGAAAATCTTAAAAAAGTTACCAAAAACGGCTTCAAAATTTCCCTTAAAATATTTAAAAAATCATTTTTATACTCACCATTGAAGTTCCTTTAAATTTGCTTGTAAAAATTTTCAAATTTCAAACGGAATCCTTAGCCAAGTCCTTGCATTTGCCATTCTTTATAAATTCAATTACCCACATTTTCATTGTCTCGCTGGCTGGGACCCATTCTCCGATTGTCTGTGTGTCAATGAGATGATTAAATGAAAAATTTCCAACGATTTCAGAGGACATTCCCTTTTCCTCTTCCCTTCCTTGCCTTGCCTTGCCTTGCTTTTCATTTTTGGTTATTTTTCTGATCGCCTGGCAAAAAAAAGAAAAAAGAAAACGGAAACATGCTCGTTACGCATACGCCCTGTGTGCAATTGTATTAAACGATGCCATTCATTTCGAAAAATTGTTGGCCACAAAGAGAGCGATTTGGGTTTTGGGGCTTGGGTTTTTAGTGCCTTTTGGGTTTAGGCCACTCCGATTGAGGATTTCGTTGGGTGGGATGGAGTGGGGTGCGGTTAGGGAAGGAGGACCCTTGTCGGTCAGGCTCGTTAAGCGAACTTGTTGCCGCATTTCACGTTGCCACACGCATCCTTCGCATCCTTTGTACGTGTCCTTTTGCTAATCGCTGCGTTTAAGCAACTGCATGTCGGAGGATGTTGCAAGCTCTTGTATTGGCGCGTGACCGGCTTTTCTCTTATGACACACAAGACCGCGAAAATGTTCGGGGAAATTGTGAAAATGGCAAAAACGGTGAAAAGCAGCGGTACGTTGTGCGGTCGGCAATCTTTGATTTTTGCATTTCCATTTGCTAACAGGCGAAACAACGCGACGTATACGTGATGTTTGCATTGACTTACTTTTTGTTTTCCTTTGGAGTAGCATTTAGTGGGTAAATGCTAGAGGAAGTTAGGTTTTTAAGGATTACAAATTTAATTTTATTATATTTTAAAGTAATTTTTAAGGAGCGTTGCTTGCTTTAAAGTCTTTTTTTTTTACGATTTTTTCTTGCTTTCGAAATAAAGAAATTGTTTCCCCATTTTTTTTCTTTGGCTGCATATGGAAATGTGATGTTTCAATTGATCCAATTTTTTGTTTCTTTGTTGTTTGCTTCACTTCACATAAAATATTCAATTTTCATTTCTTTTGGGTTTCTTTTTTCGGTATGCCAGGGGTTCCCATATAAAATCCAATAAAAATACACATAAAAATTGAAGAACAACAAGAAAAATGACGGAAAAAAAACGATGAAAGTATGGGAATGGTTGAAAGATCCCGCGGGCTATTTGACAGCGATGGCGGGGGCAAACACACACGTATGCATCGCATTTTGATTGCAGATTGTATATTTTCCCAACAAGAGAGAGAGAGAGAAAGGGGGGTGGGGTGGAAAAACAACCGTCTAGGCAAGAACTCCGGTGTTAATTAATAGGAATTGAAAATTTTCGGAAAATGTGTGGCATGGCAATGGCATTGCATTTTCCTGCTGCGCCTCTCTTTGCTTGGTAATTTATTCGTATTTTCTCTGCATTGCCACGAAATGAATTTCCACCCCCCCCAGAAACACCACCCACCATCAATCAATGTGGCAATTTAAAGGTGGAGTTGTATTGATAACATTGGCTTTGGGGGCATTTGGCTAAATAAATATTATGATGGAAAATATCACAATGCCCAGACCTCCTGCCTCCTGCCTGAATGGCATTTTAAGTGGAAAACAATGTTGCCGATCTCGGGAATGCATTGTTATCGTGTCGTCGTCGATACGGGTTTTCTATATAGATCCATGGGGATTTCCTCGAGTGCGGACGACGCTGCTATCAATCAAAATCTCTGAAAGTTAAGCGCTTGGCAAGCAATTTCTGCGGAGTCTTGGGGTTCATTTGGTAGAGTGGAGGGGAAAACTGTTTGGGAAATTTATAGTTTAAGCAAACTTAAAGATTTTCAAGGTTAAAAAGGAAGTCACTATGGGTATTTAGGATTAGGAAATGAAAGTTTTCTTCAAGTCTTGACCTTCCCCTTTCTAGAACAAGAACCCAGAATGTGATTAGCTAGAAATTGAATGCGCTGCCAGTCTAAACATGGCAGCCACTTTATCCCTATTTTGTTTTCCTCCGCATCTAAACTTTAACCCATTGTTGGTTCTTTTACTTTTTTTTTTATCTGGGAAGGGATGAGGAATGGATCTCTCTGTTGAAGTGTTGGCATTGCAGGTGAAAAATCAAGCGGCTTTTCGTCTGCCCTTTAAGGGGGTGGGCGAGGTAGGCAGGCAAGAGTTAAGTGATTGCTGCTTCTGTGTTTTAGCCGGCTGAGCTTTTAGCCTGTCAGGGAGTTGAGTCTCCGGCCAATTGGGAGGTTTTCCTCGTTTTTTTTTTTTGTTTATCCATTGTTGGTTTTCCGCTACTCCAAAGGGAAAACAGACAGACAGACAGTCGAAGAACTGACAGTTGTCGGGTGGGTAAACATTCGTCCATGTACACCCCGTTCAATTTTTGTTGTTTTTTTGGCTGGCTATTTATGTGTCAAAGCTGGCACACATGGCGTATGCTCGATACGTATGCGCAACATTAAACCCAAGTTATGAGCCTTTAACAGGCCATGGCAACAGCATTAATAGCAAGCAAGTAGCAAGTAGCAACAGCCATGGGCAAAAGGATCGAATCGAAGTAACCAAGCCGCCATGGAACGTAGCAACCAACGAACCGTTCGTCGTTCCTCCTTCGTCGTTCGTCGTAATAACTAACGTAGTTTGCCTAAGCAATTTGGCACTTGTGCGCTTTATGGACCCCGCTGGTGCACCACCACCATGCACAGTGGTTCAAAAGCAAGCAACTAACTAACTAACTAACTAACCTGAAACTCCCATCAATCATGCATTCCGGTTATCGAGTGGGAATTAAAAGTTTGCTTCGTCTCTATAGAAAAGCTATTTAGTATTCAAATTGTTGGAAACGAGAAGGCTTAAATAGCAGAATGTCAAATTTAATAGGAAACTTGATTTAGATTGTCGGGATATAGGTTTTATATTCGGTTTAATGCCTTCCATCTTTCACGCTCAACTCACTGCTCATCCGCTAAGCAGCAGGTAAGGAAGAGACATCTATAACAGGGCCAGGAAGCCCCTCGAAAAAGGTGAAGTTACAAAGGGGCTAGTAGCGAGGTTGGAGAGGAGGAGATATCCTGGGGAACCAGGACGACATGGCACATGTGCTTAACTGCCAACGTGGGGGTAGGGGGGTGACGTCTGATATATTTGCATGCAAAAGTGTTGTCACTGTAACGACGGCTGTTGTTGTTGTTGTTGTTGTTGCTGCTTCTGCTGCTGCTCCTTCTGCCTGCCAATGATAAATGCAAATAGGTGCAGACATATAGGGGCTATAGAGGCAAGTAGGGGGTCTAGAGAGCGTTTCACAACGTTACGCATACGCCATGTGTTAGATGCAGGCAGCGCAAACTCAAATCTCAAATCTCAAATCTCGATTGCAATCTGCAATTGATTGAGTGAGTCGAGTAATCGACTGCTCCGCTCCTCAAACGATTGCCAAACATTGTTAAATGTGTAAACATTTATTTGCCAATCCAACTGAACAAACACTGAGAGAAAAATGGGAGGGGCAAAAAGGTGCTTAATTTCCCTGTCGACAGCTGTCAACGGTTTTTGGTTTTTGGTTTTTTGGTAGTCAAACAAAAACCACAAAACAACCGAAAAGCACACACAAATTTTGACAAACTTCAGTGGCTAAAAGCAGCAGCAGAAAGCCACACAAAAAAAAAGAAAGAAAAAAAAGAAACAGAGGAATAAAATAAAAGAAACGCCCTTTTACGCCCCATTTTATTGTTATTGTTATTTACACTGGAGTCATTGACACGCGCCGCGTTGTTCTTTTTTGTGGTTTTTGACCCAAGAAAATGAACAGGGGAAAATGGGTGGGAAAGTCCGAACTAATAAAGCCAACTATTCGTGGCTTTTATTTGGCCATTTAGTGGGCTGCGGATAGAGCAGGCAGCAGCAGCGCAGCTCACAGCACAAAGGGTTAGGTTAGGCAGAGTGATGAATGGATTTTTAATAAACTTGTGAAAAGTTTTGGGAAAAGGTTTTTGTGGAAGAAAAAGTAAAGAACTTTAAGCTAAAGGTGTTTTATTTTGATTTTTAATATTAATTCTTATATTTTTAACTTAATTTCCCCCCCAAAAAACCTCCCAAAAATCAATCACTAAACACCTCTCTTAAAGTTATTTTCCTTTTCATTGTTACTGCTGACATTGGCAACAGATTTTCATGCATGAAATCCGAGTAAATGAATGATGAATCGACGGCCATTGCAAAAGGGAAAGTTAGGGTGTGGAAAGCCTTGTATTAGAAGAAAGTTAGAAGGTAAATTGGGAGCATCTGTAGCTTCGAATCGAAAGGAAAATATGTCGGGATTTTTGCATATGTTCATGAAAGCAATTTATATGCAC